GGTGGATTGTGTTTCACTGGTTCTTTGCCCGTCTTCCATATGATGGTGGATCTCAAGGGGCTTAAGCTAAGGTTTCCAGCATTGGCAAACCTGAAACAGGTCGATAACCCCCTAGAAAATTAGAGATTCAAAAGGAAGTGGAGGGATAGACTCCCTTGCCCTCCCTTCCTCAACTACAAGATATAACGCAGAGCTACTCTATAAATTGTGTTCGCCTCATTTCCCTCCTACCCATTCTCTTGCCTCTCTATTTCTTCAGCTTACACAGTGGTTAGTTCTCAACTTACAATCACAACTGCGCCCAGAATTTATATTGTTAGGTGAGACAATTGTTAAGTGAGTTTTGCCCCATTTTGCGACCTTTCTTGCTACAGTTGTTAAGTGAATCAATGCAGTTAAATTAGTAACACGGTTGTTAAGTGAATCTGGCTTCCCCACTGACTTTGCTTGTCAGAAGATCACAAAAGTTGTTCACATGACTCCGGGACACTGAAATTCTCATAAGTATGAATCAGTTTGCCAAATGTCTGAATTTTCATCAAATGACCCCTGGGATGCTGCAGTGGTTGTGAGTGTGAAAAAAACGGTCATAAATCATTTTGTTCAGTTGTAAACTTCAACTCATTAGCTCATTTAGGTCACTAAATGAACGGTTGTAAGTTGAGGTGTGCCACTTCTAAAGAGCTACAGAACAGATTTGTACTCTTGGTTCTAGAAAGAACGCTTAACCCGTCAGGAAGCAAAAGGAAGCAGAGCAATTCTTTTAAATTGGAGAAGTCTTAACAGTGTTCTGATTACTGGAATTTTGCATGTAAGGAAGAGGAAATGAAAGGAGTTTGCTAAGATCCTGCTGAATCAGAAGCAAAAGGGGAAAACAGAGATATGTTCTGTAGAAAATGGTTATTGGCTGTTTTTTTTTATCTGTGGGCAGACATATTGGTATCCTTTATCACAGGGGTCTCCAACCTTGGCAACTTTAAGACTTGTGGACTTCAACTCCCAGAATTCCTCAGTGGATTTCAACTCCCAGAATTCTGGGAATTGAAGTCTACAAGTCTTAAAGTTGCCAAGGTTGGAGACCCCTGCAGTTTATCACACTCCATATGTTGATCTTGGGGCTTAATTTCCAAGTCCAATTTTCCTCCACTGGGTGCTTTGTAGATGTGTTTAAACTATTCATAATCAGAACTCTGAGCCATCTTTGTTACTCTATATTCCTGCCTTCCCGTCCTCATTCCCACCCTCCATATTATGCCAAAAACAAACAAACCCCATGACAATGGCCTTTTGGGAGAAGAACATATGCTTGCTTTTCTGATTAAATATATCTGAAAGAGCAAGATGGCTTTTCAGGTGAATTTGGATCAAGCTAAAAGCTACAACTAGCAGTCTGATTTGAGTTTAGGCAATGCCATTTACAAAGTTCATTGTGTGATGAAAACACACCATTTTAAACTGAAATATGATACCTAACCCTCAAGAAGTGTGACTTTATCTTATGCGGCTTTAACAGAAGGCCTTTTATCACATGCCTAGTGTTAATCAGTTCTTTGATGCAACCAAGTCCCCAGGACCTGGGAATATTTTGTATTATCTTCATTTACAGAGGATAAAGAGTCTCTTTGCTAGAGGTAGTCATCCTCTAGCACTCAGCCTTTACTGGCTGAGAGATGTCACTCATTATCAAGATATTTCTGGAATACGGTAATTGACGCAGACCTCATGTTTGAGTTTCATGGCCACGATGGTGGCTTCATGGCAAAGGCCACGATCTTTTGCTCAATCAGTTATATCGGCATCTGTTGAGGCCAGCCTGCCTCTGGTTTTTGTCCACCGCCATTTAGAACAGTTCCCTTATCTAGAGGACTGGCCCTTAATTGTGAACAGGTAGCCCTGTATGTTGCTAAGTGAGACTTTAAGTGAATTTTGCCCCATTTTACGATCTTTCTTGCCACAGTTGTTCAGTGAATATTGCAGTTGTTAAAGTTAGTAACCATGTTTGTTAAGCGAATCTGATTTATCGATTGACTTTGCTGCTTATCAGAAGGTCGCCAAAGGGGATCACATCATCCCGGGACACTGCAATCGTCATAAATGTGAGTCCGTTGCCAAAGCACCTGAATTTTGATCACATGACCATGGGGATGCTGCAATGGTTGTAATTGTAAAAAAGGATCATAAGTCACTTTTTTTCAGTGATGTTGTAACTCTGAACGGTCACTAAATGAGCTGTTGTAAATTGAGGACTACCTATATTCTCTTTTCAGGGCTATCTCACTATTTTGCCTCAAATCATTTGGACACTAAAACTTGGTCAGCTTCCAAATCAATTATGACAGACTTTGCTTTCTTTTTGGATGATAGAATTAATGTGCGGGGGACCCACAGTAAATAGCCACAATTTTACTATTGCTGCAACTAACACGTATATACAACACTGTTTCTACAAAAGAGTTAGAGACAGCTTTTTTGCCAACTACTAGGCACCCTGCTATGGGTGGTAATTTCTGTTCTGTTTTCTGTGCCTGAGCATAAGATAATTCCTCCTCTTGTTTCTCCCTTGTGCCGAGGGATCCTTCCATTCATGGCTGATTTCAGACAATTTCCCCAAAGATGCTTCCTTTATGCCAGACTAAGACACCAACGCCCTATAGGTCAGCATTGTATTAGTTATTGTATTATTGATTTGTTCTAACAGTTATAGCAACAGAAGCTTGCAAGTCTGAACATGCCCCGACCCAAAAAACATCTTCATGTGGACTAGGTAGAGCTTGCTTGTCTTGAGATCTTTTCTCAAATTAGTTTCTACTCCAGGCTCCAGCCCCATTTCTCTGACTGTTGCCTTGTAGTGACTCTTCCTGTCTTTCAAGGTCATTTCCTATATCCTCTACAACCTCCCTCCCTTATGCATGTCCTCACCACCACTGCTTCTATTTCCTCCATACCCTCTGCATCGAAGTTGTCTGGTCTAGCCGTAGAAGCATTGAGACACATTCATGAACTTAAAGCACCTCCAAGACTGCCTTTGTCATCAGTCTACTTGTCAGTCTTCCAAGGTAGATCAGGTCAGGAAACAAATACAAGAACAAGTGGAATTCTCTTGTTTTATTGTTATATTGTTATAGGATATACAAAAGCCTTTCTCTCCATCCAGCCTTAGCTCACGCTCACATAATCATTATTGAATTCCTCCTTCGAGGCCGTCCCCCTTGTTCCTCTACTTGACCTTAGATAAGCTTGAACTCAGCTGCAGCTTTCCAGAAATTAAACACCAAAAACTGCACCAATATGACAGAATTGTTATTATAACAAAAAGCCCTATTAGCACAGTTGCCTCTTACAATTAAGGTTTTTGTTCCACTTTATTACATCTTGGATTAGGTTTCCCTCCCCTTTTTTTGGGATGGCTTAGTAGAAACCTACTTTGTGCTTCCCTTGGCGTGCGCTATTGGCTTTGTCCACATTCCTGTCCTGAGAACTCTACTGTACCCCACATCCATTGCTGGATTTTTAAGCAGCTTAATGGAAATAGGTTGAGGAATTTATCTGAATACTTCAGTTTAATTTCATGTAATACCAGGTCTTTCATATTCTGGCTTTTCTCTTTCATCTGAAAAAAAAGTCACGCGAGTCTCCAGTAACATTCATACAAAAATCCATAATTCATAAAAATGCATCATGACATCATCATGCAAATGACATCATCATGCAAATAAGAAGAACAGATGCAAGGGTGTTGAGTCTCATGATTTATGTGATGATGGATATATAGTTGTCATTTCCTTACCCTCCCACATCCTTGCAGAATGCAATGTTTGGTTTCCATAACAATATATCTCCTCTTTTTTTTCCTTTGCAAAGTGGCCCTTTTCTTTCCCTCCTGACCACAGTATTTCACCAAAAGCCTAGTATGTTCCTGCTGTTTGTGATTTCTCAGTGTTCATGTCAAAAACCAACTGAGTTCACTGAGGTCCAGCTCCAGTTGACCTCTCAACTCCTCCCTAGCTAGGAGTTGAAAATGATTTGATGGCACTTTTACTAGTGGATCTGATGGGATGGGTAGGAGTGATTGTGAAGAGGAAGTCCCTAAAACAACCCAAGTCTTGTGCCATGAAGGGCTTTATATGTCATCTTGAACTGTGCTGGAAGTATACTGGCAAACAATGTAGCTTGTGAAACAGAGATGTAATATGCACTAACCAAGGAAGACACATAACTGTCTTTGCAGCTACATTTTGTACTAGTTGTAACTGATTCAACCAGGCAAACCTTTTTTTTTCCTTTTATTAAAAGCTTTTATAGCACCTTTCATTTGAGAATGTATTGGAAACTGCATCATGACTAAGTTAGTGGTAATTTCTTAAACAAGATCCAAGCCTTTTGTCTAAATTAGAACAGGATTCAAGACGATTTTGGGACCATATAGAGTTGTACAGGCTTTACTGCCAAAATACGAATGACTCAATTTGAAAGGCTAGAGTTAATAGTTAATAGCCAGATATTTTTCTGCTTGCTATTCTCTTGATGTCAGGGAGTATCAGCAAATCTTGGCTGCCAGTTGGAAAAATTATTCTTT